AATATACATGTATGTGCATGTCTATGATATTTTTTTCTTTTCAATTCTACGAATTTACATGGAAATGATTAATAAATTAAGAATTGTGGTCAGGTCCCCACTTTTATTCTCTTCCTGGCTGCGATGCCATTATTCATTGCATTCTGTAACTTTCTTTCCTTCCATCATACAAGACATTATTAAGTTTATAACTAACAGTAAAACATAGCCTTTTTCACAAGCCCCCAACCAATTTCAGTCCTTGGGCCTTCATCCCTCTAGCTGATAAGTATGTATAATTAATCTCTATATATCAAATCTATCTAAATTGTTGCATTATCATTTTTTTTTTCCAAATATTGTTAAGTGCTTAATTTAATATATCTACAGGTTATTTCATACATGTATCATAAACTCAGATGCCACATATCTCTCTCTAAATCTTAACATTTCAATGCTTATGACTTTTTTCTGAGAAAAAGAAAAAGAAATCCCCAAACACCTAGAGTCAAGTGTGTAAACCTCAAAAAGAAATGAGATATATACTTTCTCATTTTTGAGATTTTAAATAAATGCATACTCAACAACTCAATTAACAATATGCACTTGAATGTTAAATTCAAACAATGACCAAAATATAATTCAAAAATGTTTTCCTCTTCTTTTAAAAGACCAAAATCAGAATGCTAGCCTAACTATTTTTCAAACAAAAAAAAAAAAACAAACTTGCATATGTAAAAATTAATTGACAACTTACTGTTAATTTTATTTGCATCATCGTTAATTTCCCAGACTGACCTAACTTGATTCTTGCCCTTTGCAGGGGCAATTTTAGTTCCCGAAACTACCGTCTCCAAAAATAATGACAAATATACTATCCACATCCTAGGTCCTTGATTTACAACTTGATCAAAGCTTTACCCAATCTACAGATAGGCAGCTCACCATAAAATCAATATATCTTATAAGTTCTGCTTTTTAAGCAGGAACAATTTATTTCTCTCCCCTGATTAAAAAAAAAGTTAGAGGGACTGCCGAATTCCCAAAGGCGTTCACGATCATAAAATGTCATGTCAATATTGTAATATGTTCATGTAATAATGATATAATATATGGTGTACATTTCACAAATTATATTTGATAATCATACTGGCTAAGTTTTAGTATTTAGCCAAATTAAATATTGACAGTGATTAAACCTTTTGCAACAAGTTACACAACTGTTGATCCTCAATGACATGTTTATCCACCATGTAGAATTTGCGGTTGGAATTTAGATCCGATATTACTAAATCAATATGACATTAACAAGAAGTCTGTGAGCCAATGCTCACTTAGTAATACCCCTGCTCTGATGTGAGTATACATTGATAGATATGTTAATAATATACATAAGTTCGGTTATGGGTAGATGCAGGGATAAATATATAGGAAGTTGACATAAGAATCATATAAAAATAAATCCCACCATATTGCATGCCTCAACAAAGTATGTGCTACAATGTCAAGCATCTGTAATGAGTGGTTGCCGAGAAGACTACGACAAAAATTATTGTCATGTATGAAAAAGACAGATGCACTGATGAACAGGCAGTTGAAACTGGATTTGAACAAAAATGAATCCAATCATATGGCATGCCTCAGAGAAGATTGTGTTGAAGAGCTCGGTTCACTTTATGCATAAAACAACCCTGCATATACCAATTTATTGACTAACATTTTATGTTCCATTTTAAACATCAAAATAAACTAGAGTCACTTAGTACTTTCATTTCCTTTTAAAATTTTTCTCCTTAAACTTCAGATCTTGGAACACAGACTTTATGGAAGTGCAATGTTCTTGAATTTTAATGTAAACAGGTATATTTGAGTATTTTCAGAGACAGAAAATATTATGAGCACACCCTCTGAACTGAAAATTGAAAGAAAAAGTGAGCAAGCTCACATACCCCAAGCTCTCCCAAAACTCGAGGTGCTGAAATTGCTGGGAATAATGAAGGAATCCAAATTTCCTGGTAATATGAACATATATGGTACACACTGTGTACTAAATATCTGCGAAGTTTGAGCAAATCTGTGTAGCGGTTTAAGAGGAGTCTTCTGACTATCTGTTCGTCTCTATATTCAATGTATGGCCAAAAATCTAAGTTGAAAAGTGCCGAAATTCCCAGGAAAATAAAGGAATTAAAATTTCCTGGTAATATGCACATCTATAAACTGTGTACTAAATATCTGCAAAGATTGACAATATTCTGTGCAGCAGTTTAAGAGTAGTTGCACTGACAAACTGTTCATCTCTACATTCAAGGAATGACCAAAAATCTAAGTGTAAAAGTGTGGAAATTCCCAGAAAAAATAAAGGAATCAAAATTTCCTGGAAATATGCACATCTACACATTGTGTCCTGAATATCTGCAAAGTTTGACAAAATTCTGTGCAGCGGTTTCTGAGGAGTTGCGCTGACAAAAAAACAGGACTGACGGACTGACTGACTGACACACTGACTGACTGGCTGACGGAGGGGTCAAAAACATTATACCTCCTGCAACTTGTTGCATGGGATATAATTAAACATAACTTGTAATCCTCAGAAACAGTTGTATCACTTATTAGTTGCTTAACTTAGATCATAGGTTGCACTCTATATTAAATATTGAAAAATAGCTTTTAAAATTGGCCGTTTTTGTAAACTTTTTCAGAATATGAGGAAAATGACACATTTTGTGATGTCATAATGTATTCACTAGCAAAAAAATTATGTCATTTTTTATAGACATGCAATTACCAAAGGCCGAAGTGATATTTAATGCACTGTAAACTAAAATAAAGCAGTTTCAGTATTTCAGAAATTCACGGGGCCAATAAAGCCATAAGTGAACCTTGTTCTGTCAAGCATCTGAAAGGCTTACTTGTTGGGGAGGAGAGATTTGAATTTTCTATTACATGTACTTGAGAATGTCACTATATCAATAAAGCATACACGTTTAATTTTGCCAACCTTGAAGAGAAGATTTTTAAAGATTTTTTCCAAAATATTACTCGATCTCCCATTGTGACCCTTCAGGTGAGCTTTTTTAAAAAACTTCTAATATTTTAAAAGGAATTCTGGACTAAAACGAGAGGCCAGTGCCTTGAATCACTCTTCTGATAAATTGTACAATCTATCAATTTTACTTGAAGCCTCTAAATATCCTGTACATATAACTGAAGCCTTGGAATTGCAAAAGTAGGTCATCATGGCCTACATTTTGGTTAAAACACTCCGAGAACCCAGAATAATCAACTGACAAAGTCTAATGATTCTAAGCCCCTTATTAGCTTAAATACAAACATATAGCCATCAGATTTCAAAAGTAGGTCAGAGTGACCTACTTTTTTGGTATACTCTGAAACCCAAACTGCTCAAAGAACAACAAATTATTTGAAATATTCAAACAATGCCAAGAAATTCCAAAAGTAGGTCACCATGACCTTTGTTTTATTTAACACATTCTGAGGTCCCAAGTCCACATTCTGAGGTCCCATTCAGAGGTCAACTGAACAGAGTTTCTAAGCTTAAAAGTACCTGAAATATTTTAAAATTTCCAAAAAATTTAAAAAGTAGGTCACCATGACCAAAGTTTCAGCTGACCTTCTATGAAGACTTAGATGCATCAACTGACAAAGTTTGATGATTCTTAGCCAGTTAGGACTGAAGGTATTTAAATATAGCTATAAAATACCATAAGTAGGTAATGGCGACCTACTTTTTGATTGAAATTTTTCGATTCAAGATGCATTAATTGACAAAGATTGATGATTCTAAGCAATTCATGACCTGAAATATTTGAATATAGTCTTAAAATTTTTAAACTAGGCCATTGTCACCTACTTTTTCTTTGATATTCTTCAACAACCTAAGATACATCAATTGGCAAAGATTGTAGATTCTACCAATTAGGACCTGAAAAGCTATAAAATTCAAAAGTAGTTCACTGTGACCTACTTTTTGTTCAACAATCTCTGAAAATCCAAGATGCATCAACTGACAATGTTCTGATGATTCTAAGCTAATAAGTACCTGAGATATTCAAAATATTGACATAAAATATCAAAAGTAGGTCACCATGACCTACTATTTTTTTGACATTGTCTGAAAAGCAAGGATGCATCAACTGACAAAGTTAATTGATTCTAAGCCAATAAATACCTGAAATATTCAAAAGCAGGTCATCGTGACCTATTTTTTGGTCAACGTTATTCGAAAACCCAAGATGCGTCAACTGACAATGTTTGATGATTCTAAGCCAAAAAGAACCTGAGATACTTAAATATAGATAATTATATATAAATGTCAAAAGTAGGTCATTGTGACCTACTTTTTGGTTGACATTCTCTGAAAACCCAGGATTCATCAACTGACAAAGTTTGATGATTATAAGCCATAAGTACCTGAGATATTCCAAAGTACTGTAAATCACTTTTTATTCGCGAGAACTTAATTTTCGCGTAATAACGCGAGACCATGTGCTCGCGAAAATTTAATTCTCGCGTACAGTAGTATTCTTTAAGATAATATAGAGCAATAGCCACAATTCGTGAAAATTTTGTCTCGCTAATCAAGAGTCAATGACTATCTCGTGAAAATAAGGTGTCGCGAAAATTTAGTGATCTACAGTAGGTCACTGTGACCTACTTTTTGGTTGACATTCTCCGAAAACCCAACTGACAAACTTTGATGATTCTAATCCAACAAGATCCTGAGATAGTTAAATATAGCCATAATATGTCAAAAGTAGGTCACTGTGACCTACTTTTTGATTCTACATGTAAGCCAATAAGTACCTGAGATAACGCAAGATGCATCAACGATACCTCACTACTTAAGTTTTACGACATCTTTCTCCTGTATATACTTATAGTTTGTTTGGAATTGCCTCTCGCCTCATTGAAATGCCCCCTCCTGATTTTATTGTCCAAAAGTAGGAAGATTTTTTTTTATTTAATCTCTCATATTGTATTGCATACTCTACATCACTTACTTGTTCCATTTTGCCACTTGAAGATAAGTCCTGGTATGGTACTGGTTAAAGAGGTGCTGGTAGTTTCTTCTGTTGAAGTCAATGGTTCACAGAGTTCTCCATTGCTGGATTGCTCTACAATTTAAAGTAGTGAAAATCATATACTTTTTTACTCTTTTTACATGCGCGGATCTAACAGGGGGGCAAGCAAATTTTTTTCTTAGGGGGTAAGGACCCCCCCCCCCCCAATTTTAGTAACCCAACATCCTTCCTCGAATTTCCAAGGTTAAAAACTGTATATACTAAAGCAAGAAAAAAGATACCATTGACCCCCCTTGGAAAACGCTGCCCCCATCCCCCTGGTAAACGCAAATATGTGTGAAATGGGTATGAAAAGGGAAAGATTTGAGGCAATAGAAGTCATAGTCATTGACGTTTGTGCGAGTTTAATTTTTTTTTTTGCTTGTCAAGAAATTTCTGGGATTGGATTTTTTATTGACTGGGGTGGACCACCCTGGAAAAAATTTCTGGATCCACGCCTTTAATGCATCAATAACATGCTCATTGTGCACTTAAATGCAAGCAAATTTTTTTCTCTTAGTGCATGATGCAAATTCTAATATAATGTAATAAAACAACATTCCCTCACACTAAAATAACAAGAGTCCCATGGCACACAATACACATTTGAGTCAATATGGCCCTTCTGTTCTTTATCAGCAAATTTTTAAGCACCTGGATCAATATATCAGGGGCGTATATTGTTTTTGTCCTGTCTGTCTGTCTGTTTATCTGTTTGTTGTCAACTTAAACCTTCACCATAACTTTTGAACCGTGAGAGATACAGACTTCATATTTGGTATGCATATTCCACTAATTAAGCTCTTTCAAATGACACCAAGGTCAATGATCTTGTGACCTTGACTGTGACCTATATGCTAAAAATAGTTTTTTTGAACTTTGTTGCCGCCGAGCACAGTGTTTAACAAACACATCTTGTTTTCTATTCGGTTAAACTTTGAAACCCCATTATGGCATCAACCTACTCCTTGGGTCTTTATTTGAACAAAATTTCATCTACACTACCAGGATGCTTCCTCCTTGATGTATTTAAAATTTAGCCCAATCATTAGCAGTGTTTGAAACACACTGCAAAGTCGGCTAGACATGCAGGGCTAATTGCTAGTGAAAGTTGTCCTCCCTGACAAAAATGTACTCAGAGGTAGGATCAGGTGCCATGGAGGAATAATCATCCCCTAACATGTACTCCTTGCTATGATTGAGAAAAACAAACATATTTCAAACTAAAATATATAGTCTAGTCAAAGTAAATGACATACTAATACCTAAAACTAAGTGCTTTAACCCACCTTGGGGGAGGGGGATTCAATTGTAATCATACAAACATTTTGCTTGCTATATGTCCATGATTTATAAGATTTTATAATAAGATACAAAGAATAAAGAATGCATTTTTATCATTATGACTAAGAAAACCTGGAGCCAGAACCATGAACGCAGGTCATGTATAATAATACTGATAAAGAGTCTAGCTGTTGCTTTTTGTAATCAAATCAAGAATTCAAATGTTTGAAAAAGTATTTCTAATGATTGCATTTATTTTGATTGCTTAAAATAGTTATAAGCCTTTCCAGAACAGAAGCTGAAAATGTTCAATTTTTTTACATGATGTACAACAAAGGAAGAAAACAATAACAATCAGAGACCTTTGTGACTCTGGTAATCTAACAAATCCAAGATCAAAAGGTAAAGACAAGTCAATTTTAAGAAGTGTGTGTTAGATTGGCAAGTCACCTCACTCTTACTTAAGGTACATTGGTACTCTGATAAGAGAGATTACTCTTGATGACACAAATCTCTATTATTCCTTCATAAATCTGTCAAGTTGAAGTGCCTCTTTTGTCAAATTTTGCCCTGCAAGCCATGATAAATTGTTTGCATTTAGCTTATAATTTTCTTTTGGAAAATTATAAAAGTTAAAGAAACATTTTATATGAGTAAGCAGAGGGTTTATGATGACCAATATTTGCCCCCAAAATCAAAATTTGACATAGGAACCTTAATTGGAGTCTGAAAAGTAATTACTGAATAAAGCGGAAGAAAACCATTTGAAGCAAATGCATGGATGGACAGGATCTCTTAATTATTAATCTATAGATCACTTGCTTTGTAACATGGCTGACAAATATCACATGCAATCAGGAGAGAACTGGAAAACCATTCCGTTTTTTAATTTCAAATCTGTAGTTTTGCTAAAAGGACTATATATATTAAGTGATGACCAATATTTGCCCCCAAAATCAAAATTTGACATAGGAATATATAATTATGTTCTAAAACAGGGATATCTGCAGACTTCAAAGCACTGAATATTTTCATAAGCCATGACACTTATGTTTTTGACATGACATGAGGAAAATAATGTAAATTAAAATTTCCTTGATTTATACATAAAAAGCTTATCGTAATTAAATTCTTTATGACAATTGCTTCCATACATAATCAACTGGCCACTTTAAGGAGTAAGAAATAAACCTTAGCTAATCAATTTTGATAATCTCTTTTGCAATAGAGCAGATGTGTCCTAATAAGGAGATCAGACTTACATTATCCAGCATTATGTCTGTCAAATCTTGACTTCTCCTCCTGTCAGTTTTATTCTGCATTTCCCTACTTTAACAAACTTACCATTTACAAGAGGCCCATTGGGAACAATCCTCAACTAAGTAATTGGACCTGCTGTTCTTCACCCGACTTTCCCCATATGTAATAACTTTTGTGGCCCCATCCTACCCGTTTTTAACAATTTAGAATCTAAACTACCACAGGATGCTTACACATAAGTTTTGGCTCTAAATTCGCCCTTGAGCACATCTTGACCTATGTTTTTAACAAGAGGAATTTTAAATAAATTACAAAAAAAATTAAAGAAAAAATTGATTGATATTGATAAGTATATTACAAATTTTTCATCAACTTACATAAATTTCTTGAAATGAATTTGATAATTCCACTAGAATTACGCATGTGTAAGAGAACATTTTCAACCATGTCATAAAAGACAATTATACTGTGAATATACCTTGAACACAGAATGTCTTCATTTAATCCTTTAAAATTTTAAAAATAAAATTTCCTTTCACCAAAGGATTCTTTGTGCCAAATTTGGCTAAAATTGGCCCAGTGGTTCTTCAGAAACAGTTGAAAATGTGAAAAGTTTACAGATGGATGGATGGATGGATGGACAGATGGTGGACACAAGGTGATCAGCTCAGGTGAGCTAAAAATTGAGCAAAGATCTCGGAAGTTTCCTGATTATGTTCGAATGGATTAATTGCTGTACGCATTTCAAGATTACCATAAACCTTTTTTTTCATGTTCCTTTCTCCATCAAGGAATCATTAAGGCTGATTGGTTTTATCACCTATATTACTTTTTTAACTGTACAGTAATGTTAAAGTAATTTGTTATCAGGCAGGGCATTAATGTCAGTACCTACCTTCTTTAGCTATATCTTGGAAGCACTCTGGACTGATAGATATATCATCCAAAGCAATGTCTCCCCTTTGTGTATATCCACGAAATGCTTTTATCTGTATGAAGTACCTGAAAAATATAAGACTAGACACTATGTTGAGCTAAAAATATTAGTATATTTTACGAGTTATTTCTTCAGGAAATCAACTACTTATTCATGTGATATCAGTTTTAACTTAAAATTAAGAGAACAAGCAACTTCATAGAATTTCAGGGTTTTATTGGTTGGCATACAATTATTCTCGGCATTTTGTATGTTTCGTCTGTCCATCAATCAAACAAAAAATTACAGCTTACTCCACTTATATTGAAATCACTTATTTTGAAATTCCGCTTATATTGAAATAAGAATAAATCCCCAGTTTTAGCCTCTCATATTCTTTGCATTAAAATAACGGTTATATTGAAATCGGCTATATTGAAATATCGCTTATATTGAAGCCACTGATCGGTCCCCAGAGGTGATAATGAGTTGTTTTCATAACCGTTATATTGAGGTACTCCCTGGCGGCTGTCATTACAGTTGGTGACAATAATTATGCCTGACGGATCGATTGATATACAAAGGTGTGAATTAATACACTGTAAGTTTTCACCATGTGTCTTTTTATACTATTTTTACAAAATAAAATTATTCACTGTTTAATTCTTTGTTTTAATGCATACTAACATATTGAGGCTAAAAAAAAATAATGGAACCCAACAGAAAAAGAAAAACCTGAACTTTGAGACTAAATAGTCAGTTATGGCTATTGATAAGCCTAAATTTGAAACGCTAAGAATTTTGGGATTAATACAATATTATACAGACCCTGAAACGTTCTACTTTCCCATTTTTCAGTTCGCTCACCGTTCGTTCAGCGTGCATCGACCATTCGCTCTCCATTCACAGTATTGCATTCACCGTTCACCGTGCGCTCGCGTTCACCATTCGCGCTTTGTTCCGTTTACTTTGCGTTCACTGTTCACTTATCATTCAGTCTTCATTGTCATTTGGAACTCCGAATTGAAAGGACTTATCTTTTTGATGGTTCTTAAATTAAATAACTTAGATATCCTGTTTGAAGAATAATTATTTCATTGCAAAAATTATCTATAATATTTATATTTCTATTATTATAACTCAGCTGTTACTTTATTCATGAAATTTTCCTGGGAAATAATACATTATGTACCTACATGTATATAGAACGATGCTAAAATATTAAATTTTAAAAAGGGCAATTTACAAATGCTTCACGCACGGCAACAAATTGTTGTAATGTTAAAGACGACAAATCATTAATGGATGTATAATAATTATTCAAAGTCTTTTACAAGAAAAGAATACACAATAAAATTATTTCTACAGTAACGCGTATTTTAAACTACACGTAGGTCTGAGAATTATGAACAGTACTGCAAATATTCAGTTAATTAAATAACTTCAGAGCTAATTAAATTGATAGTGTGATTTTAAATTTTAGAAAAGAACAACTGTTTAAAATAGTCTATTTTTAGAGAAGGGTGCCTTTTCTCCCGAAATAAAATTCTTCGTGAGTATTTTTAGTATATTTTAATTAATATTTATTGTGTATTGTAACACAAGAAAACCAACATCAAACAGTCATTAAACAATTGTATTTTAGATACACGTGCCGACAGTAGTATTTTAAATGGACCGGGAATATGTTTCAAATTCAATTTAAAACTTAATCCTTCGAAGTATATATTCCCATTATTTTTTTTTTCTGCAAGAATGCAAAGATCAGATCTAGAAATGATAGGGAAAAATATTAAAACTTCTTGGAAATACTAAGTGACTCTTTGCCTTCGGCATGTTCGGTGAAACGCAATTTCCACGCCTCCACTGTGTCGAATTATTTTGATTGACAGAAGCACGTGGACTTCCTGAGAACTGTGTGAACATGATGAAGAAAAATAAAGGCCAGTGATTACTGTCAAATGAATTTGTTAATCTAAAAAAATTGATTACCTTTACTGCTTGGAATATTTAGGAAAAATAATAAGAATTTTTCTTTGATACAACAGATATCTGAGAATTTAGGGGGTATCTCTCTCTCTCTCTCTCTCTCTCTCTCTCGTACATTTCTCTGTTCAATAAAAACAATGACAGCACATTACTTATTTAGTTTTGAAAATTTAATCTATAACAAATAATTTGAATGCCTCTTTGCATCATCTTGACCGAATATAATCACGGCCAAGAAATGTCTACAGATACATGTAGAAGTTAGCTAAAATAATCATCATAAAAGAATACAAAAGACACATAAATATAGAAAATTTTGCATTAGAATTTTAAAATACGAGACTTTTTATGCAATACGTCAACAGAAAATTGTGAATTCATAAAAAAAACAAGAGGCCCATGGGCCACATCGCTCACCTGAGAAGCTTTGACCATTTTGTTCTTTACCAGATTTCCCCCTTGTAATACATATTGTGACCCCACCCTACCCCGCTGATCATAATTTAGACAATTTGAAATCTACACTACCCCAGGATGCTTCCATTTAAGTTTCAGCTTTTCTTGCCCAGTGGTTCTTCAGAAAAAGATTTTCAAAGATTTTTCATATATATTTCTATGTAAAACTTTCATTCCCCATTGTGACCCCCCAACCCCCGGGGGTCATGATTTGAACAATTTAGAATCTACACTACCCAAGGATGCGTCCACATAAGTTTCAGCTGTTATGGCCCAGTGGTTCTTGAGAAGAAGATTTTTAAAGATTTTTCCTATATATTTCTATGTAAAACTTTGATTCCTCATTTTGGCCCCGCCCTACCCCGGGGGGTCATGATTTGAACAATTTAGAATCTACACTACCCCTGGATGCTTTCACATAAGTTTCAGCTTTCCTGGCCCAGTGGTTTTTGAGAAGATTTTTTTATGACCCCACCCTATATTTGTCTTTTCTTGATTATCTCCCCTTGTGAGGAGACTTGGCCCTTTATTTTAACAATTTAAATTCCCCTTCACCCAAGTATGCTTTGTACCAAGTTTGGTCAAAATTGGCCCAGTGATTCTTGAGAAGAAGTCGAAAATGTGAAAAGTTTACAGATGGACGGACAGACAGACGGACCGACGACGGACAAAATGTGATCAGAAAAGCTCACTTGAGCCTTCGGCTCAGGTGAGCTAAAAATCCGTTATTTTACTCAGTATCGCCTTGGCACAGAAATACATGTATGGTTGTTTCAACCACAGGGGCCTGTAACATACTGTATTTGATTTTACGTAATCACTATATGTATACAAAAAGAGAAAGGGAAACAACGTCAGCTCGAATTTACACAGGGTTTTAATGATTATATAGAAATAACACGTGTTTTCAATAAAATACCTTGCAGTTAGTGAAATAACGTCTGGGATCATTCAGTAATAATCACTCTTTAATAAAAATACCATCGCGGTCATTTATAAGAATCGTATAAGTCGTGTTTTACAGATCCGATATCCTATCATGCAAGTGATGTAGTTTAAGTTGTCCACTAAATTCGCTAAACATTGCATCCAATATTTAACGCGAGATGTGATTGGTCAATGGTGCTTTTTTTCAATGCAACAGATCTTTTATATAAAAGACCAATCACGCTCCGCCTTTTACCAATCATGGGATTTTCCAAAATGTCGTCTGTTCTGGGCTCGAGCCTCTCTGTGAACGAAAAAAGCTACCGTATTTATTCAAATCGGAGATGTTGTACCCTTTTAATTGCAATTAACAAAAGAAAAAGATGATTTTCGTAAACGCTGGATGTTTACTTTGTGTTTTCCATCTCCGGAAAGACTTCAAATCTAAAGAAAATGTGCGAATTTTGTCTCGTTTTAGTGGACGACTTAAAGTACATCGACTGGCACAACGGGATATCGAGTTAGTATTACCTAACTTAAACGCTATAAAAAGTAACGAGGCTTCTGTTTTATTAAAGAATATTTATTGTATGATTTCTAGTTATAATTTAATTGGCTACATTCTTTTTTCTATGAAATACGAAATATTTCCGGGATTGACCCTGTGTAAATTCGGGCTGACGTTGTTTCCCTTTCTTTTGTATATATATAGTGATTACGTAAAATCAAATACAGTATGTTACAGGCCCCTGTGGTTTCAACCGCATACAATGTAATTAATTCATTCTATAAGTAGTAGTTTTATCTTCTAAAGTCCACATTATTTTATTAGTAAAAGAATAAGCATATTTACTATATAAAAGATTAATTTTATCTTTGAACTACACGCGTTCAGTAATAAATACACATGTTTTACGGCATTTAAATCGTGTTTTTTTTTTTTTATTTATCTATTGTTTATTTATATTAAAGCACCTGAAATTAGATTTACAGAATAATAGAATAATTTAAATGCAAGGAGAAGATCAGAGGCACACCATTCACACATCGTTCACTAAGTTGCGTTCAGCGCTCGCACATCATTCACTCACAATTCGCTCTGCGTTCATTAACCGTTCGTTCACCATTAAGGTGGGAAAGTAGAACGTTTCAGGGACTGTACAAGCTGCGTTCAGCAGTAATGTAGATCACTAAATTTTCGCGAGAACTTTATTTTCGCGTACTTACGCAAGACAATGAGCTCGCGAAAATTTTATTCTCGCATTTTAATGTATTCCTTACGATTATATAGAGGAAAAACAACAATTCGTGGAAATTATGTCTTGCTAACAAAGAGTCAATGACTATCTCGCGAAAATAAGGTGTCGCGAAAATTTAGTGATCTACTGTAATTAAACGGTTGGAGTCCGGTGATTTTTCTCCAAAACGCAAAAGAATGCGATTGGGGGATTTTATACTGTAGATCACTTAATTTCCGCAACACCTTATTTTCGCGAAATAGTCATTGACTCTTTATTAGCGAGACAAAATTTTCAAGAATTGTGGTCATTGCTCTATATAATCTTAAGAAATTCTAATATACGTGAGAATGAAATTTCGTGAGCATACAGTCTCATGTAATTATGCAAAAATAAAGTCCTCGCGAATAAAAATTGATTTTACAGTAACGAGGCTGAAGACTGTTTTTTCAATGCAACAGAAAGAAATAATTTTATATAAAAGTCTAATATTCCATGTAATCTGTTCACTGTTTTAGATAAACAATGACCGAATTAATTTGTTTTGGTTTGTTCTTCTTTATTTTATGATCGGGATTGAACTTGAAAAATGGTGGCTTTGCGATTTCACTTATATTGAATTATGGAGATATTGAAATAATTTGCCTGGTCCCCTGAATTTCAATATATCCGGAGTAGGCTGTATATTTTTTTTTTTTCATAAAGCTACAGCCAAAATTAAAGTTTCTGAAAACTACTTCATGACTTCAGTGTCAAGTTGAGGTCAATATTCAATATACAATTAGAAAGATTTGTCATAGGTAAAGGACAAGTAAACATGTTTAAGTGCGGTCTTTTAAGGTTAAAAGATACGTCAAGTTTAAATTTTTTGGGACCTCAAATTATCAAGGGCCCAGGGGCCACATCACTCACATGAGAAACTAGCTAGGTTAAAGCAAAAATAAGTTCAGTATTGAAAAATTTAAATATATTATATGGCACCCAAATCTTCACTACATGAGGATGCTTCTACATGAGTTTCATCTTTCCTGGTCCACTGGTTCTTAAGAAGAAGATTTTTAAAGATTTTTCCTATGCTTTCCTATGTTTGATACCCCATTGTGGCCCCACCCTACCCCCTGGGGCAATGATCTGAACAAACTTGAATCTAATGCTCTGTTCACATGGAGAGTTTAATTCGAATTAAACGTAAAGTTACCGTAATTTTCGGATAATAGGTCGATACTTTTTTCTCGGAACCGCTGGGGTCGCCCAATACACGAATTTGACCTTTCTAAGGCTCAAGTTTACGAAAAATGCCCCAAAATAAATAAAATTTACGTCAATTTCAAAGCAAATCTGTGCCACTTTCATAACTTTTTTCATTATTTTATGCAGAAAATTAATGCCCAGGTAAACAATAAAATATTTATTCTATAGCTTTCTTACAAAATAAATTCCATTAAATAGCCGTTGATGACAAAGGAAAAAACTGTGCTTCATCAAGTAAATAATTCCTCAACGTGTTCTCCTCCATTTCCACCATGCGGTAGCCATCTTGTGAAGTTAGGAAGTCGCTACCGTTTACTAAAAGTAAAACCGCAACCGTATCAAAATTTAAAATACGGAAAGCTTTTTCGTACACAAGAAGTACACTGAATTACCGCTATACAAAGATTGGCTTCTAACAGAATTTTAATTGTCTGACAGATAAAAGGATTTACACTGTGTGTACACGCAAAGGTTTTAACACCTGTGTTGGTTTAATACCCGCAGGACATGATTTGCAAATCCACGTGCCGCTATAGGGTATTAGTGTTACACATCACTGAACAAACAAAGCCATGAAATTCATAATGACTGTCAAATTGTGAATGTACCGGTACTCTCAATTAAATTTATAAATTAAACTTATAGCGTGGTAATATTATTTCGATTCTTTACTGTTGCTTTATATATGCATTCAATGGTCGTTTGCGGGTTTTAGCAAATCCCTGAAGAACAAAAATGAAAATGGCGGACATCGAAGCAATTGTCGTCCACCTGTAAATAATGTTTGAATAAAATATATTAGGAATGTGTCCAACTTGTTCTGAAATCAGAATTATTATTCTTTGATCTCGGGTATTTCCCGAATTATAGCTGTAAAATAAGAACGTATTTACGTGTTATTTATGCCTGTGGTTTAACAACAGTATGAAACTACGGAGGCATTGAACAGGCAAGTTGGAGAAAAATAAGTAGTAACACAATTCAAAGAAGTTTTAACTAAATTTTTTTAAAAACTTTATCTAAATGCTGTACTCATTAAAATACCCGTTTATTTTCTTGATACGTTCATGTCACAGAATTACCCCGGTAATTTTAGAGGTTTACCTGTTCTGATACGTTGTACCTGCGTAAGAATCTTTAGAAAGCGGGAAACAAAGCCTCGTCCTTTGTAGTAAGTTCGTCCTATCTTAGGATTTTTCAAAAATTAAGGCTGAAAATGAGCCTTTCGACCTATATACCCCATCGACTTAATATCCGAAAATTACGATACTGCGAATTAGCTTTGCTTAGCGTTCACACAGAGAATTTAATGCGAATTAGTTTAATTCGAATTAATTTACTGCACATTAAATTACTTCGCATTAGCTCCGTGTAAACGTTACGCGAAGCTAACTCGAATTAAATTTTGATGCATGCGTAAGGCCACAATCAAGTCACAGGACACGTGTTGGTGGTTATATATAGGTAGTTGTGCTATATTTGGTTCAAAAATTGAGGGAAAGTATGTTAATCACTAAAATCAATGAATACCTGTTGCCACTACATGAAGTGTCAAAGGATGGTTCTGCATACATGACGTGATTTACAAATGATGTCATAACAGACTTACTGACGCCTGACTGTAGAAGAAAAATTTTAATTCGCATTAGTTTACTTCGCATTACCTGTCGTGTGAACGCAATTTAATTCGCATCAGTTTACTTCGCATTAATTTACTGCGAATTAAACTCGTTGTGTGAACAGGGCATAAACTACATGAGGATGCTTCCACACAAGTTTCATCTTTCCTGGCCTACTGGTTCTTGAGAAGATTTTTAAAAGATACCATTAATTTATTACTATATAATTCATAATTTTCTCTCCTTGGAAGAGGGTGTGGCCCTTCATTTGAACAAATTTGAATCCCCTTCACCCAAGGATACTTTGGCAAGTTTGGTTGAAATTGGCCCAGTGGTTCTTGAGAAGAAGATGAAAATGTGAAAAGTTTATGATATTGATGACACACAATGGACAAATTTTGATCAGAAAAGCTCACTTGAGCCTTCAGCTCAAGTGAGCTAAAAAGTCATGGTATTTATCTGAAAAGGGCAGATAGACAGCTACATCAAATTTTATGACTCCATGCCTTTGCAAAAGTGAGGGATAATTTTTTTCAATATGCCAAAAGGGTACGCGTGTATTAGAATTATTATTTTTTGACATTTATTGACATTTTCCATTTGCTTTTATATTTTCAAATTATGGTCAATTTGAGAACCCTAATGGGAAATCATTAGATCCTTTATTTAGAGATCATGTGCGCAGATCAAAGAATCTCATATTAGACTGTCATATTCTAATTATGATCTTTCTTTTACATATATTTACTTAAAATTCATTATTTGTTTTACAAATGCCCTTGACAGTTAGGCCATTTATTATGAGCAACCAAAAGGAACAGAAAGACTGAAAGACTGCTTCATACATACTACAGTAAAATTACATACTATAGTAAAAACTGCTTACAGCAAACACATGCACCCATAATGAAATAACGTTATTTAACAAAGTGATTTTCCCTCCACATCGAATTTAAAATATACTGTTTACTTAAAGGATATAATGAATGATGCTCATAAAGAAGCAAAATGGTCTGTCCCTAGCACTTCTTTTATAAGCATGTTTAACTCTATCAAGCATTTGTTGTGACAGGCTCCCTTTACTTACGGCCCAAAATTTCTAGGAATGTCCTTGGTAAGAGATACAGAGGCACATTTCCACTTGTCCTCACTGACATTCAGATTCAGGATTTCTATTGGGCGATTGATTCCAAGTCTACATGCACTGACCAGAGACACTCTGAGTCTACTCACTCGAGTACCATACATATGGTAGTAAAAAGCTAGCTGAAAAAAATTATTTGAAGAGTAATTTGTAAGCATGCAGGAAATACACTCAAACCTTGTTACCTCAAACTGGATGGGGTCTAAAAAAGAGATACTGTAAAAGTGGTTATATTGGCGGTACGAAAGTTTGACGATTTCTTCATCTTAAAAAATTGACGAGTGAAAACTTTGACAATCTTTTTACTGTGCAAAATAAAAATGAATTATCTTCCTTTAATTCCTTACATCTGCAAAGGAATATCTATGACAGAAAACGGACTAAGTCCGTGGTTACTAATGAACTTATGTAAAATTAGTAATAAAGGGTAGTTATTCAAGTTTTTTTTTTTGCCAATAAGCATGATACACTGGCTAAAAAGCCTTCATTGCGGTTGGTATTAACAGAACCTGCTAACATGATGACTTTTTTCATGAAATTGTCAAAAACAATCGTCTCCTCAAGACCTTTACAAACTAACGATATGTTTAAAATTGTTGTAATTAAATACTGTAGACGTACTTTTTTCCACGGGGTCATAATTCCGCGGAATCTAAATTTCTGGTTAATCCGCGGAAAGAAAATTACACGGATTTTCTAGATTGTCACTATATACCTTTTATTTATATTAAGTACGCTTGGTCAAATTTCCGCGGAAAATTTGTGACCGCGTACATAGCGTAAATTAATACCACGCGGAAAAAAGTACTTCTACGTTAAATAAATGGATAAAGGGAATTTTTTGTTTGTATAGCATTTAACTGTCAGATAATATTACCTGAGGCAAGAAACCTGACAATCAGCAGGGCTTGGTAGTAATTACATTTCAATGTATCGTATAATTGAGTCGTTTAAATACGTGTTTGTTTGACTAATTTATCAAGTAAAAATTCAATTGCAAGCGGATATCTTATATATTATTTTTGCTTTTTTTAAAACAAGTTTAACATTTCATGTAAGTTTATATGCTATATACAATGTTATTATCTTTTCGAGATAGGCATTCCAATAATATAACTTATAAGGTGACTAGACCTTGCACGTACACAGGGGAAAGACAATGAATAAAAAATTGACTAGAAGAAACTTTGACGAGCTAAAGTCATTCGTCACAATCGTCAATGTTTCCTCCTCGTCAAACTTTCCACTTTTACAGTATCTGTAATGGAGATACCAAGGTTAAAATACATAGAGAACAGTTGGATTTTTTTTGCTTCCATTGAGACTTGCAAACACACTTTCAAACATCCATGGTATTCAAGATATCAAAGTTTGCGAGAACCAGAACTGTCCAAACGGGACAAAATACCCCCCGCTGGGTTTTTCAGAAGCAAGTTTTTCCATAAGAAAGATATGTATCAAACATGAATAATGAATTTTTTTTTCCAGTGACCTTGAAGTTCCCCAAATGACCTTGGGTCAAGGTCATGACACACCCTTGGGTCATGGGCAATCTTTGTGTGAAATGAGAACCTACCAAGTTAATCCATACAAAAGATATGGACCAGACACGAATTATGAAATTTTTCTTCCAATGACCTTGAACTTCCATAATTGACCTTGGATCAAGGTCATGACAAACCCTTGGGTCATGGGCAATCTTTGTGTGAAATGAGAATCACCAAGTTTACCCAAAAGAAAGATATTGACCGGACACGAAGTATGAAATTTTTTCTTCCAGGGACCTTGAACTTCTCCAAATGACCTTGGGTCAAGGTCACGACACACCCTTAGGTCATGGGCAATCTTTGTGTGAAATGAAAACCTACCACAAGTTTAACAACAAGAGTGATACTGCTCATTTAGAACAGATTAAAATGATAAGTATATAGAATTGTAGATATTTAAAAGGTTTACATATATTGTCTTACCTGACATTTCCCATTTGATGATGAGGAAGAATTCCAGACTGAGGCACTGGGAGCTGGAAACACTGGGCTCTCTAGAATACCAGCATCTAAATGTCTCCCATTGTCCATTTCAACATACAAATAATGACCTGAGGAAAGTAAAACAGCAGTATGAAAGGACACTGTGCCATAAAATGTTATCTCTATTTTCTTTAAAAAGTGTTTTTCTTTCGAAATCCATGACTTTCAAGCTATTTTTAATAAAAAGAGTCTTGCTTCCTTCTCCTGACCCAGGATAAAAAAAAATAGTAGGGTAAGTGAGGGGAACTTAAAAAAAAGTGCGCAGAAGTTAGCTGCTTTGTGATGATTATGTACATACAAGTTTAAGCATAAAACTGAAATAATTGTTGATGGGACAAAATATTTCTAAAGCTTTTAAAAAAGAAGCCCATGGGCCTAATAGGTCACATGAGCATCATGTTATAACTTTCCAACAATTGAATTTGATTCGTGTTTTAAACTAGAGGCCATGAAATTAACAATTTTGAAAAAGGCACCATTGCTTACCATAACAATATACTAAGCATGCTTACTTTGGTTACTTAATACCCAGACTGAGGTAGATCAGAGTAACAAAGAGAAAATGCAATTCCACATTATAACCAGTTGTGCAACCCATCCCACAAGAACCACTGACCCTTGGGCCACAAATTTTAAAATTTTTGAAATTTTTTCATAAATTTTATTTCATCATAAAAAGTTAATTAATAGCAAAGAGCAGATTTCAAAGCATTAATTTATTTTTAGACTATGACCCCCCACCCCAACCCACCCTCTAAGTACCCCTGACCCCCACCCCAACTCACCCTCCAAGTACCCCTGACCCAGGGGCCCTGAAATTAACCATTTTGAAAGAGGCAGCTTTCTTCATCATAGATATGTACTTAGATCATTGGCTTAATACCCAGGAGCAAAGGAAAAGATTTTCAAAGAATTCATGCATTTTAACTAAATAAACATAAGGGCCCTGTCCTAACACAAGGAACCCGACCCAAGGACCCTGAAATTCACAAATGTTGAAGAGGCATCCTTTCACATTATAATTATGTACCGGTACATACTTCATTGGTTTAATACCCAGGAGCAGAAAAGATTTTAAAAGAATTTATGCATGTTATCAATATATAATCAATAGAGCCCCACCCATACCGAAATAAAGTACAAAAAAGTATACTTTTATTGTACTTTTTTAGTATTAAATTTGTGCTTTTTAGAAAAAGGTCAGAAAAAGTATACTTTTTTTGTACTTGGCCAGAGAGCCTCTGAAAGCTGATGTACTTTTTTTGTACTTTATTTGAACTTAGTTTTTCTCCACAGTACTTTATTTGTACTTTATAGAACTTAGTTTTTTTCCACTGTACTTTTTTTGTACTTCATTTGGACTTAGTTTTTTCTCAATGTACTAAAAATGTACTTTTCTTGGACTTAAACTTTTTTGGCAGAATCAGAAAAATAAGGATGTACTTTTTATGTACCTAATTTGGACTTTGTTTTTTTCCCATTGTGTTCAAATTATTTTTGAAATTTTATAACAATTTTTATGAAATTAGTTAGCAATTTGTTCATATAAAAATATTTATTAAATTATTCTAATGATTTAGGAAAGTTTTATTCTAATGTGAGCATTCAGAATTCAACTATGGTGTTAGCATAAGAGTATATATAATATATGGCTATTTAATTTACTTGCGTATTTGTTGCAGGGAAAAGGGGGTGTTTAATACAGTTACAGTCAAATGTATTTGTATTTCTGTCATGCTGTGTCCATTTTATGTTTAACAGAATTATGTCCTAAACTCATTATAATCATCAAGATTTAGTAAACCTGATGGAAATTACATCGTAAATCTGTACAGAAATAACTCTCTCTCTATCTCTCTATCTCTCTCTCTCTCTCTGGCTGTGGAAATATTAAATTATTTAAAGGTAAAATTTTTGGAAAGGAAGTAATTTACATGAACAAGTATTCTGCTTGCTTTACATTTTACATCTCTCTCTCTCTCTCTCTCTCTCTCTCTCTCTCTCTCTCTCTCTCTCTGCAAACGATGTTTATTTCAAATGACACAGGTGGTTGTACTCGGTGACCTTTGTTGTCTAGACGGTGCAGTGGAAACATACACATAAATTCACAAGAAGTTTCTGGGAAAACGAAATCACACGCGATAATTTTGACTATGTGGTAAACAAAATGGATTGAAATCGAGTATTGAGAAATACATCTTAAATTAATAAGGGAAAATATAGTTGATATATTTAGTTGATAATTAAGTGTCACCTAAGTGTAGTTCTAATAAACGGAAATAGCAAGGAACGAATATTAATACAAAAGCCTCCAAGATGCACCATGTCTATCGTTTTATTATCACGAAGAACTTTCATCATGTTTACGGGTATAAACAATGCACGAAATATAAGTAGCATGTGCAAACGTCTAAGCTGCCTGCATACAAGATATTTCGACATTGAGATTGAAGACTGAAAATTTTATTAGGATTTTTGCAGTTAACAAATTCAAAATTTCTTGTGGCTTTACAAATTGAACTCGATAATTTATTGAAAACAAAAAAACAAACAAACAAAATGGCGACGACGATTATTACACAATATGGCGGTCACAATTGTGGTAAAGCTAGATATCAAGTACTGCACAAAAACGGCTTCAAAATAAATTTAATGATTTTAAAAACATTATTAAGAGAATTTCTGATGTTTTTATGAACTAATTCTGTATTTATTTATTTATTTTTTTAATCACGTGACTCTTTCAAAGTCAACGATTGGTCAACAACGAAGCGCGGATTTTTCCGGGGACGATTTGAAAATTGGTGTGATTGAAATGCTGAGACCAAAAATAGAGATTTTGAAGTCGGTAAGGCTATATTTATGTTTAAAATTTGGATAATGTTTGTAGGAAATGCATTTCACCACTATAGAAACGTATTTAACGAAGAATTTCCATATAGATTTTACATAATGTGGGAATTTGTGTTTTCGATTTCTGGTTTGTTTTGATCGGTATGACAATGTAAATTTACATTTGAATTAATTGAATGGAACATGCTTTTTCTTAGACTATGTGAAACATGAATCATTTAATAACTTGTCATATTTAATTCCTAAAATGTTTCAATATGATATTTATGCAGTAAGATTATAATACAATGAGCACTGCTCAGTATTTGGAAACGTTCACTGGGCTACGTAAAAACATTTTTGTAGCCTAGCTATAAGTCTTAGCATAATTAAAAAAACACAAAGTCTACTGAATTTTGTAAGATTTAAAGTTTGTTAAACAAATAAATGGATGTTTGTTAAAAGGCAGAATGTATATAGCATGATGTAGTGTGTGTGAGGTGGGGTTGAGATTGAAAAAGGGGGGGGGAGGTAAGTCAATACAAATAAATTTAATACTGGGGGATTGAACATGATAAAAAGGCATTTTAAGTATCAGCATTTACATGCATCTGATAAATTTGAAGTTGCACTTGTTAGTTATCACTTAAGATGTACTGATCATCTTTCGAGGCTGAAAAGAACTTCAAATGGGGGGGGGGGGGGGTTGGGGGGGGGTTGGGGGGGGGGGTTGCTTCAATATTGACACACATGAATACTTTTTTTTATTCTAAACATGTAAATTGCAAGTAATATAACATGAGGAATATAGACAGGGTTTTTTTTCAAAGAAACTTAAAAATTTAATTTTAGAGTAATCTTAATCTTTCAACATGCATGTTCAAGTTATCTGATTTTCTTCTATAATTTTCAGAAGTTCCTTTTTTACTGTGACTTAAATGCAGAGCTATGGGAAAATACTAGTGTTGGCAAATCGGACGATTTTTAGTAACCGGTTACTCGCTTCATCTTCCGATCGAGTACCCGGTTACTCGGATGATTTTTCGTAAAAGTATCCACATCTTTTATTCATCTTGTGCTTTACTTATCGGTAGTAGTAATTCACAAATATACTGAATTTTGGACATTATATTTACAATACACACATGCGTTATTGTGAACGAATTTTGATTTTAGATTAAAGAAAATAAGAAATTTGACACACGAAGAAGACAAATAAAGACATCGTCAATCACCGTCTCACCATTGCTTTCCTGATGCTTTCCCTTTCAACCCCCGAAATGTCGCTATCAAGGAGAATAATAATTATCTACATACTCCGTAATTATTAGTTAATTTTCGTTAAGATTTTGAATCAACTGTTCTTTCTTACAGTTACAACCCAAACTTAATTTGTCTGAGGCGGCATCTCGTTAAGTTAAATTATCAAATGAGGTAATCATAACTCAGGCCTTCAAAAGTTGTTTACCCTCGAGCAATCAAGGCTATTAATTATATAAACTGTGAAAACTAATCAAAATAATTTGATCCACTACAACCATGTATTAGATCAAGTCTAACGGTATCTAAATTTAGGGAAATGTGTAAGTATATACATTTATAAACTAGAAAACAATCATTTTATATGCATTTACTATGTAATTTTTTTTGTTCATGCGAGTAACCGGATAGCAGTTTTACTAACCGATACTCGCATCGTTCGACGGTTAACCGGGTACTCGTTGCCAACACTAGAAAATACCTCAACAATATAACTGTATCATATCACCAGTAAGTATATTAATGCCCTGTTCAAATGGAGAGTTTAATTTGCAGTAAATTAATGCCAAGTAAATGCGAAGTAAACTAATGTGAATCAAACTAATACGAGTAAAATTGCGTTCACACGACAGCTAATGCGAAGTAAACTAATGCGAATTCTGTTTCTGCAGCACGGCTATTATGACGTCATTTGCAAATCACGTCACCTTATGCTGACGCAGATCCATTTGACATGATGGCAAAGTGTCTGATTTTATGATAAACAAAATTTTCCTTAGTTTTTCACTCAAAAATAGCACAAGTGGCATTTGACTAAATTTTGCCATTACGCATGCGTCAGAATTTAGTTCGAATTAGCTTTGCCAAGCGTTCACACAGAGCTAATGTGAAGTAATTTAATGCGCAGTAAACTTATTCGAAGTAAACTAATTTGCACTAAATTCTCTGTGTGAACGCTAAGCGAAGTTAATTCACA